GAAACCGGTGTGGCTCAGTGGATAGAGCGTCGGTCTGCGGACTGAAAGGTCCCTGGGTTGTGGGCACATCCCCAGTGGGGGGTGTGCAGGAGGCAGCTGGTCGATGTTTCTCTCTCATCAATGTTTCTAGCTCTCTATCCCTCTCCCTTCCTCTCTGTAAAAAAACACACAAAAAAAACCCACCAAAAAACAAACAAACAAACAAAAAACCCTGGCAGAACCGAAAAGAAATGAACTGTCAAGCCACGCGCAGAAACCTTCACTGCACATTGCGAAGAGGGAGCCAATGGGGAACATCTCCCTTCCGTGTGATTCCCACTCTGTGACATTCTGGAAAAGGCAGATCTGCAGAGGCAGAAAGGATCCGTGGCTGCCAGGGTTCGGGGAGGGAGGGAAGGAGGGAGGGACGAACAGGGGGAGCATGGAGGAAGTTTAGGGCAGAGAAATGTTCCTGGGACCCGGGACCATGTTAGCTCATGTAGGAAAAGGCACACTCTGCAGGTGCGATGACATCGTGACTGCTGAGATGGGGGGTATCTGGGTGGACCCCACGTAATCACAAAGGCCCTTTTAGTGGGAAAGCAGGAGAGTGAGAGTCAGAGGAGAAGCTGTGACGGTAGAAGCAGAGGTCAGCTTGATACACTTAAACAAAAAGTTTAAACACACACACACACACACACACACACACACACACTGAGTGGCCAGGTTATGATGATCTCTGGACGCACAATAATCTGGCCACTCCGTGTACTTCTCTTGAGCACCTCATTTATTTGATATCAAAGACACTATAAAGTGTGCACCTGATCAGTTTCCCCCTTTGCACTGGCTGACAGAAAGCTCAGGGCAAATAGGTGGTTGATCTCCAGTAAAAAATCTAGAATATGTTTGGTACCCATTTGAGATACAAATACACTGCATGGCCAGATTAATATGCTTTCAGAGATCATCATAATCCGGCCACTCAGTGTATATATTTATTGATGTCAGAGAGGAAAGGAGAGAGAGAAGAGAGAGAGAGAGAGAGAGAGAGAGAGAGAGAGAGAGAGAGAGAGAGAGAGAGAAAGAAAGAGAGAGAAAGAAAGAGAAAGAGAAATATCAATGATGAGAGAGAATCATTGATAGGCTGCCTTCTGCAGGGCCCACACTGGGGATCAAGCCTGCCACCCAGGCATGTGCCCTGACCGGGAATTGAACCCTGACATCCTGGTTCATAGGTCGATGCTCAACCACTGAGTCACACCGGCCGGCTCGACACACTTTTTTTTAAAAAAACAGGATTGAAGTGTCCCTGGACTCGGACCAGCAGGGAGGCTAATTGGATACAAACTTCCAAGAAATGGCACAAACTCACCCATTTGATCCTAAATACTTGAAACCAGGCCTCTTGAGAGTGACACGCAAATTTATGCAAATCGTATGCAAACAAGCGCCAGAGCCAAGTGGCCTGGCCCAGCTCCCTTACCCAGGGCAGCGCCCCCTGATCCTGCTACATTTCTGTTTGGGGCCCTGGGACTCGGGGGCTGTGGTGTTGGCCAAACACAGTCGGGGTGGGCAGCGGAAGGAAGAACTGTTTCAGCTTCAACAGCCATGACAACAACAAAATTCCTTTGGCGCATTGGCAGGCTGTTCACACTCTGCTCGCTCTTCCTGCCAGGTTTGCAGGCCTCCTAATCACTCTTCTTGGAAGGAAGAGGTTAGGAAGAGACGCCCTAGCTGGCTTGGCTCAGTGGATAGAGCGTCGGCCTGCGGACTGGGGGGTCCTGGGTTCGATTCCAGCCAGGGGCACATGCCTGGGTTGCAGGCTCGATCCCCAGTGGCGTGTGTGCAGGAGGCAGCCGATCGATGATTCTCTCTCATCATTGATGTTTCTCTCTCTCTCTCCTTCTGCCTCCCTCTCTGAAATCAATAAAGAAATATATATATATATATATATATATATATATATATATATATTTTTTTTTTTTTTTTTTTTTAAAGGAGGTTAGGAAGAGATTTGTCAGTGCCCGGATCCCGAGATGATCACTGCGGGCTGCCCAGGGCCTGGGCTGAGATCTGGGCGCCTTGGGCAAAGGCGAGGAGAAGGGCATGGAGCCCGTGTTCACCACAGATGCTGGCTTGAAGGGATCCTTAGCTTCCCAGGTGTTTGTCCAGAGGGTGGCGGGGTCCTGGCGGGAGCTGTGGCCTCATGTGAAGGGGCAGAGACCCTGCCAAGCCACAGCCCAGCAAGAAGGGAGGGTAAGGCACCCCCTGCCGTCTCCTGCTGGGGCCTCCTTCCGGCCTGACCACGCTGGACGCCAGAGGGCTGGGAGACGGCAGGTGGAGGAGGCGGGAGAGGGATCGGAGGGCTGGATGGAGACTTCCCAGCACAGCTCAGCTCTGTGCAGAAGGAACGTGGACCTCCAGGCAGGAGGAAGAGGCCTGGCCAGGTCCCTCCATTTCCACAAATCACTGTCCCTGTCGCCACCGGCACGTGGGCCCTCCCAGTGACAGGGAGCCGTTGCTAATGAGCAGCTCAGGTCACCCGGGGCCCAGGTCCTCACTGGAGAAGCTGACCTCCTTTTACATGTTCTCCGGTGGCTAAGTGCCTGCTGGGAGAGGCATTGGTGGAAGATTCACGGACGCGCCTTCAAAATCAGGACCACATTGTCTTGGCTGGGCTCCCCCGCAAAATGCTCTCACCGGGTACCCCATCCCCGTCCCCTGTCTGCTGGGCTGTTTGTGTGCATGCTCTCCCCGAGGTCAGGAATGTGCAGGAAAAGCTTTTCATTTATTATTTCGTGTTTTTTTTTAAGTTAATAAGTCTTTATTGTTCAGATTATTACAATCGTTTCTCCTTTTGCCCCTCCTAGCTCCCCTCCACCCGGTCCCCTTCCCCCCTCTGCCCTAACCCCGCACTGTCCTCATCCATAGGTGTACGATTTTAGTTCAGTCTCTTCCTGCACCCACCATACCCCGTTCCCCTGAGAGTTATCAGTCCCCTCCCATTCTATGCCCCTGATTCTATTCTAATCACTGGTTTATTCTGCTCTTCGGATTTTTAATTCACTTGATGTTTAGGTTCACTTGTTGATAGGTATGTATTTGTTGTTCATAATTTTTATCTTCACTTGAAAAGCTTTTTAGATGTGAGCGTCGGGGATGGTTGGTTTCATGGAGGTACCCTTCTGCTCTTTCTTTCTTTCTTTTTAAAAAAATATATTTTAATGATTTTTTACAGCGAGGAAGGGAGAGAGATAGAGAGCTAGAAACATCAATGAGAGAGAAACATCGACCAGCTGCGTCTTGCACACCCCCTACCGGGGATGTGCCCGCAACCAAGGTACATGCCCTTGACCGGAATCGAACCTGGGACCCTTCAGTCCACAGGCTGATGCTCTATCCACTGAGCCACACCAGTTTCGGCCGTGTACTCTTTCTTGAGACCCACCGCACTGCCTTCTCTCTCCCCCGAAGCATCTGGGCAGCTCAGACCCAACATGTCACATTTTATGCAGCCAGGGATGTGAAGTGGTACCCAAAAGAACCATTTCTGTAGCAATGACTCAACTTTGCCCTTGTCAGTGCGAACGCATACAGGAACAGTATAGAAAAGAACGAATGTGTCCGTGTGCCAATAAAACTTTACGGAAGCTGGAATTTGTGTATCATCTTTACATGTCACAGAATGTTCTTCTTCTTTTGATTCTCCCCCCCCCCCCCCGCAGCTATTTAAAAAGTGTATGAAAACTGTTCGTAGCTCACAGAGAGAGTACAAAATGGGTTTCAGGCTGGCTCTGGCCTGTGGGCTATAGTTTGCTGACCCTGGTAAAGACTGCGGGGGGTGGAGGGGAAGCCCCAGGGAGACGGATGTAAATTTAATACAGGAAGACAGTGATTCATTAGAGGCAGCCGGGAATGGAGCCGGCATCGCCAGTGAGTGACAAGTTCCTTGTTACCGAAGGCCCCAAGTTCAGGCCGGATAATTAACTCCCTCGGAAGGGGTGATAGGGAAACGTGTCTACCCAGCACACTCGATTCTGGAATTTTCTCCTGACCCTGCAGGAGTATTGAGATCAGGATGACACGTGGCTGCTTTACAATGATACCTGCTCTGCCCAGCCCGCGTGGCTCTGTGGCTGAGCATCGACCTACGAACCAGGAGGTCACGGTTCGATTCCCGGTCAGGGCGCATGCCTGGGTTGTGGGCTCAATCCCCTGTTGGTGACGTGCAGGAGGTAGCCGATTCAGGCTTCTCATCGTGGATGTTTCTCTCTCCCTTCCTGTCTGAAATCGACAAATATATTTTTTAAATGAAAGTATACCTGCTTCATAGAGGGAAGTGCGTTGCTCTTACTCACGTGGGACTTATCAGTGCTCCCAACCCCTTGTTGCTGGAACAAGGACATGTGGGTGATGTGCTGGCTTCATTGCTTAGGCTCTCCTCCCACCCCCCACCCCCCGCCCCCGGGCAGAGACATCGACCAGCTGCCTCCTGCACACCCCCTACAGGGGATGTGCCCACAACCAAGGTCCATGCCCTTGACCGGAATCGAATCTGGGACCCTTCAGGCTGCAGGCTGATGCTCTATCCACTGAGCCATACCGGTTTTGGCCAGGTCACACGTTTTTATTGCCACGTGGTTGCCACTGTCGCGTTCGCTCACACCTCTGTTCCATCCCATCGTTATCCTTCCTCCTGGCGCTGGGAACCATTGAGATCTCCTCTCTTCATGGCGATTGTAACAGCTTTGTTGTCTAGAACCACTGTACTGGGGACGAGATGTCCGGGCCTCGTTTATTTACCAGTTGCCACGGTGAGCCCCTTCAACAAGATTCCCGCCATTTCTGGTTTTGGGGTCCCAGCTTCCACAGCGACCGGCTTCTCCCCGGTCTCGTGTCCTTGACACCCGCTTTCTGCCTCCTCTTATTCCTGGAAGCAAACTCCCAGGAAGCTTTGGGCACGTCGTCGTGACTCACCGTGCATTCACTGTGCCTCGATTCTGTGTGTCTCGTTTCAGATCATCGCCTTCGATGAGCTGAGGACGGATTTTAAGAGCCCCATAGACCAGGGCAACCCAGGGCACGCGGTAAGCAGAGGGCGCAGGAGGCGGGGCAGAGCGCCACCACGGGCCGCCCGGGGCCGGGCAAGGAGGGCGAGGTTCCGACGCGTAGGATGGGTAGAGAGCAATTCCCTGCTCTGACTGCACCTCCACGCCTGGCTCCAGGCTGCTGAGGCGACTTGTTCTCCAGGCCTGCTGAGGTCTTGATTTCTCTTGCAAGTCAAGTAGGGCAGCCCCCAGTGGCCCAGGTGGGAAATGCCTGCGGGGCTGTGGCTGTTGAGTCCTCCAGACCCGGTAGAATGAGGGCAAGGGTGGGGGGGGAGGGGAGAGGGGGGCATGGAGGGAAGTGGGGAGATCCCCATGTTGGGCAAGTATAGGAGCATATAGTGGTCGCTCCACTCTGATAGAGTAGGCTGATGTCCAAGCTCCCAGCCCAGTGGTCGGCAAACTCACTAGTCCACAGAGCCAAATATCAACAGCATTAGGAAGGTTGAGAACCACTGGCATAGACAGACAAAGCCAGTGGGCCACCCACCCATCAGGGCACGTGTGCTCTCTGACGCCCTCGTCGGAAGGCCCCCCGGGTGCCGGCTGCAGGCTCTGGGACAGCCCATGAGCACGTGGTGCCGGTCAGCAGGCTGGCTGACCATCACAGGTGCCCGGAGGCGGAGCCAGACCCCCTGCTGGGGGCAGAGCCCACGCTGGCAACTGGTACAGTTCTTTTTTTTTTCTTTTTAAATATATATTTTACTGATTTTTTTTTTTTTACAGAGAGAAAGAGAGAGAGATAGAGAGTGAGAAACATCAATGACGGAGAGAATCATCCATCAGCTGCCTCCTGCACACCCCCCACTGGGGATGTGCCCGCAACCAAGGTCCATGCCCTTGACTGGAATCGAACCTGGGACCTTTCAGTCCGCAGGCTGGCGCTCTATCCACTGAGCCACACCGGTTTCGGCGCTGGTACAGTTCTGCTAAGAGCAGATGCCCGTGGATGGGGAAACTCATCTGGAAAAGTTGCTGGTGGGGGGTGGGGGGGGCGCTGCACGCCGTCTGGCCAGGCGGGCCCTCGGGCGAGTGCTGCCTTCTCTCCTGAGGCCCACTGCAGGGTCTTCCCTCGCTCTAACCCGCTCTCCTTTCTCTCTCTCTCTCTCTCTCTCTCTCTCTCTCTCTCTCTCTCTCTCTCTCTCTCTCGTGCGTCCCGACAGAGGGAACGGCTGAGGAACATCGAGCGCATCTGCTTCCTCCTGCGGAAGGTCAGTGCCAGAGCCGCGGTCAGGGGTGGTCACTGTGGAGGGGCTGGTGCCCGCTCCATTCCTGTCTCCCCTGGGGGGTGGGGGGTTCTTTGGACGCCCCCAGAGACGAGGAGCTAATTAGAGGGGGTGGCCGTCAACCCCAGTGGCAGGATGGCGCTGGATAACTGAAGGGCCTATGGTCGGACTCAGCTGCTTTATCTCTTCCTAACAATAGCAGGCGCACAGCGTCCTTTGTTCCCGCCTGGTGCTGGGCTCAGGGACCTTTGTGCCCGGATGGTGGGCTTGCTCTGAGTTTCCAGTTCTGCCGTTTGATTGGCAGCCTCGCTGGGAGTGTCGGGGGCGTGGGAGAGGGGGTGTCATTCCAGGGGGAACTGGGCATTCAGAGAGCTGCCCTGAACGGAGGGGCTGAGGGTCACAGCTGCCCTGAACACATGCAGCAAGCGCACGTGTGCACGCAGATTCAAGTGCGTGCGTGCGCGCACAGCTCAAAGCCTGGCATTATGCACCGTTCTGTGGCACAGCGGGGGGCCAGAGCGACCAGCCTGCCACACTCGGGGTAGGAAGTGTGTGCGTTTTTTTTTTTTTTTTTTTTGCAGCGAAGTATGGAGAACAGGTGCTTGCAGGTAAAATAGGGCAGAGTCTCTGGCCGTGAGCCAGAGGACGCCCCTGACCTCCGTCCAGAGCAGATGGATGAATGCAAAAGAGGGTTTTGAGCCTCGTGAGAGGAGGCGGGACCGCCGGGGCCAGGCCAATCCCCGTGGAAGGGAGAGGTTTTTCTTGCGAGCTCTCAAAGCCTTTTCTGTGTTTCACGGCTGATGCCTTTCATTGGGAGAGAGAACTTCATGGAGAAGTTGCTACGCCTTCTGCACTTGGCATTCAGGGCAGTGCCCGGGTCTGTGAAGGATGTTCTCAGATGGCACCCTGGGCACCGGTCACCCACTCCAGCTGTCGCCTCCGGGGCCCCTGGTTCTTGGGTTCTAAGTGCCTTTTACCCTCCAGGTGCTCTCTCCCCCGCCCCCCGCCCCCCAGCGGAGCGGGCCGCCAGGATTCTCGGCAGAGCGCCATCCCACCACCTTCCCGCCCTGTTCATCCTTCTCTACGGCTTCGCCATTGACACCGGCCAGACAGGAGGCCATGTATGGCCTGTGGCCGCCTCGGCCAAGGTCCTGCTGTCCATGGCCTTGAACCTTCCAAAGTCCAAGCCGAGGATATCCAAGCATGCAGGCCAAAGGGGGAGTTCGCATTATCATCTGCAAATTTGCATGTCGTTTGCATACGTTTTTATAAACACTAGACGGAAGCCTTTGACTGCAGGAAACAGAGCAGCGAGTACCCTTTTCTGCCCTTCTGCCCTTTGCATTTGCCCCGGCTCCTTCTCCCCGGGCCGCTGCCTCTGCGGCTTCTGTACCATGGGAGATGCCAGGGAGGAAAGTTCGAGATCGAGAAAGCCCTAATGTCAAAATTTTAGGTCTTTAAAATAATTTTTTAAAAATTGATTTCAGAGAGGAAAGGAGAGGGAGAGAGAGAGAGAGAAACATCAATGATGAGAGAGAATCATCGATCGGCTGCCTCCTGCACGCCCCCACCTGCAACCTGGGCATATGCCCCAACTGGGAAATTGACCCGAGACCTCCTGGTTCATAGGTTAATGCTCAACCACAAAGCCATACCCGCCTGGTCATACTTTAGGTCTTATCGCTGTGCCCGGTCACACATGCTGTAGCCTGTGGCATTGCCCCTCTCGGCTTTCATCCCAGGCGAGCTTCTGGCTCAGATTCCCAGCGGTGAGCGCCTGTGGGGGATTCTGGGAAGGGTTAACGGGCCTCGTTCGCATCCTCACCTTCTGGGAAGTGGATCTTCCAAGGAATTTATCAGAATCCGACTCCCAGACTCCCCGGCAAGTGATGCATCTCGGCGGTTGACTGCTGCTGCACCACCTCCTCAGCTTCCCCCCCGAGCGAGGGAGGGGTTTGCACAGTGGTGGCTCCATTTTTAGCTCCGTCGGTATCAGAAGACGCGTTCTTGGGGTGAATCGTCTGAACTGCAGGTTCCTTGTGTCGCCTGCTGCTGATTCATGTTTTCACGGCAACAGCCAGGCCCCTCGCTTTTGCGCCGCTCTTTTCACGAGCTTGTCTCGGGCTCTGCGGTCGCTGCCACGTGCAGGCTGGAGGGCAGGAAGCAGGCGGAAAGCAGAGGGCGTTGGACGCGGCTTTTGGGCCTAATCAGGGTCCCCAAGAGGAGGAGACTGACGAGGGGCCCCCTGTGGCAGGGAAAGGTTAGAGGAAATGAATGTAAGCATCCCCCCCCTCCCCCAGCCCCCACCCTGCGACTCGAATGAGCAGTGAGGCTGCAAATCCCTGCATCAGAGGCTGCAAATCCCTGCATCAGAGGCTGCAAATCCCTGCGTCAGAGGCTAAGCCAGGCTCCAGCAAAGCAGATGGGAGGCCCTCTCCCCACCTCGGCCCTCCGGGCTCTGCTTTAGAGCGTCGTCATTCTCTAAGTGACACCAGAGGAAAGGCAGTTGTTGGCTAACGGGTGCCCAAGCGGACTGACCCAAAGGAGTGAGGCCCCAACTTCCTGCCTGCTGGCAGGCGGCCGGCCCAGCGGGTGGCTTGATGCAGGGGGTCCTCGGACAGCTTGATTTTCTTACTTTTTAAAAAAATATATATATTTTATTGATTTTTCACAGAGAAGAAGGGAGAGGGATAGAGAGCGAGAAGCATCGATGAGAGAGAAACATCGATCAGCTGCCTCCTGCACACCCCCCACTGGGGATGTGCCTGCAACCAAGGTACACACCCTTGACCGGAATCGAACCTGGGAACCCCTCAGTCCGCAGGCCGACGCTCTACCACTGAGCCACACCGGTTTTGGCCAGCTTGTTTTTCTTGATGGGAGATTTGCTCCAGAGGCTCCCTTTTCCAGAATGGGATGGGGGGAAAAAAAACACCTGCTTTTCCGCCTCTGAGTCCTCGCCATTTTTGCCTTTTCCCGATCGCTGACGAAGCAAGAACCCTTGCCGGGTTAAGTTTCTAGGCCACGGAATGTGCCCCTGTTCCCAAACCCTAACGGCCTCTTGTTCCCGGCACTGTGACCCGTCCCTGCCTCTCCCTGAAGTTGTACCCTGGCGCTGGCCTGTGTCTCGGCGGGGCCCACAGGGCGATGAGCTTTCCTCCCGGCTCCCCTCCCGTGCCCATCGAGTCCCAGGCTCCGGGGAGAGGCTGGCTCCGTTTGCCACCTGCCCGGGGGCTGTTCTTCTGGAAGCCATTCGGGGCACTGCTCCCCCCACCCCCCTGCCACCTGGTGATCGCTGATGATAAACACCTGCTGAGTGAGGGCCTAGGCGGGGCTCTTAGCACCGGAAGGCTTGCTAAACCCTCGCCCTTCTCATTCTAGAACATTCCCCCTCCCGTCAGGGTCTCTCCTCTCAAATAACCTGCTCTGCCTAATCGCTCCCCGTTACTCCAGACGCGGTTCCCACCCCCACACCCCGGCTCAGAGGGGAGGGAAGGAGTGGGCAGCTGCTCGTGTTCACGTAAGAGCCTCTGCATCGCCAGCCAGGCGTGGGAGGATTGAGTCCCTTTCAAAACTTGGCACGATCTGAGAGGCTTTGATTCCCAGCCCCTCCCCGAGTGGGTGGCTCAGCCGTGCGGCCAGGGAGCGAGGACACGGGCGTTGGAAACCCAAGGGCATCTGCAGCCGCAGGAAAACGATGCTCGCCCTGGCCGGTGTGGCTCGCTGGACAGAGCGTCGGCCTGCGGACTCAGGGTCCCAGGTTCGATTCGGTTAAGGGCACGTACCTGGGCCAGGGGTGTCCCTCTGACCTCAGGCCAAGGGCACCAGGCAGGCCTTCCTTTCCTTCCCTCCCGGGGCGCAGGAGCGAGCCCCGGGGAGAAGGATCCGTGACGGGTCCCCCGGGTCCGGCCCAGCCCCCGGGGACCAGCCACGAGGGGCCGATCTCGACGGTGACAAGGTCAGGGCGGCACGTGGGGTGGCATTCGGGGGAGCGGCGGGCAGGGCGGAGCCGGGAGCCGCCGCCGCTGTGGGTGCCCATGCAACCGGCTCGCGACGGGCGCATGTCACGGTGACTTTTCAAATTTCACTCTGGACCCGGCGGTTCTTGTTCGGCTGCTTAGACGCAGAGTCACCTGCTCAGCCAGCAAAAGCGTTTGCTGAGCTCCGGGGTGACATCCAGGAGGTCGCACCCGCTGATGTGCCAGCGCCATCCAGCGGGCAGCACCCACGGGAGCCACCTCCCCCCCCCCCCCCCGTCCTGGCTGTGGGGGACCCCAGCACAGAGGGGGGTCCAAGGCCTTCTGGGAAGCCTGAGAGGCTGGTCCGCCCTCCCCGCCCCGTCTGACTGCTGAGGGGGGGAAGGGGGAGGCTGTACTCAGAGCAATTAAAGAGGAAGTGACCTTCCAGCAAAGGGACTTAGAGCCAGGGCTCCTGACAGCGCCGGGGACCCTGTGTCCAGTTTAGAGAAATCCCAGCTTCCCAAGCTCGCCATCCACCCCCCTGCTCCCCTGCGAACCGGGGGCCCGATGACTCATTTGGGGACAAAGGGGGACCCGACCTCCAGGCCCCGCGTTTATGAGCAAGTCCCTGCTCGCCCCTGCGGCTCCTCTGCCTGAGGCCCGTTAGCATGGGCCGGGGGTTCCAGCGAAAGAGCCATTATTGCCCTTTTCTTCTCCCCGCTCCCGGGCACGGGGCAGGTGCCCCCAGGGCGGGCACTGGGGCCGGATCAGGGTTGGTCCGGACGGGCAGCGAGGGGCCTCTGCGGTCTGAGAAGCAGCAGGCGGTCTTCCTTCCCGCCCGGGGGCACTGGGAGCTGGTTTCACCGGGAGGGCGGGCGGGCGGGCGGGCGGGCGGAGGTCGGAGGGGGACCCGGTGGAGGATGGGGCGGGCAGGTTTGGTTGTGGGGGTGAGGGTCCCTCGTCTAACCAGGCCTGCGCCCCCGCTCCCCCTCCAGCTGGTGCTGCCCGAGTACTCCATCCACAGCCTCTTCTGCATCATGTTCCTGTGCGCGCAGGAGTGGCTCACGCTGGGCCTGAACATGCCGCTGCTGTTCTACCACTTCTGGAGGTGAGGCTGCGGCCTGGTCTGCCTTTCCCGGCTCTGTGAGGGGAGAGGGGGCGCCCCCAGAGACGATGCCCCCCCATGGCCGGCCAGCGAGAGGCCTCCTCCCCTGGGAGAACTCTCTGGGCCCCTGTTTCCCCTCCTCCTCCTCCTGCTCCTCCTCCTCCTCCTCCTCCTCCTCCTTCTTTTTTTAAAAATATTTTTTATTGATTTTTTTACAAAGAGGAAGGGAGAGGGATAGAGTTAGAAACATCCATCAGCTGCCTCCTGCACACCCCCTACTGGGGATGTGCCCGCAGCCAAGGTCCATGCCCTTGACCGGAATCGAACTTGGGACCCTTCAGTTCGCAGGCCGACGCTCTATGCACTGAGCCAAACTGGTTTCGCTTCCCCAGCTTCTTACGCAGCAAGTCCCGCGAGGAAGGCTCTGTGCAGGCCCCACCCTGGGCCTCCCGGGAGCTCAGTGAGAGCAGCGGCAGCGGCACAATCAGAACAGGAGCTGGAGGAGGAGGCAGCAGCGGCCGCGCCCCTGGAACGTGCCTTGGGCCTCAGGAAGCGCAGGAGGGACGCGTCTTACTTTTCCTTGAATCCCAGACAGGGTCCTGCCTGGCCTGGCCTCTCATAATCGCTCAGAAAACAAAATAAAAAGGAACGAGGAGGAAAGGGTTCTTTAAAAATGAGAGTCCCACCTGGCTGGCTCAGGGGTTGAGCATCGTCCTATGAACCAGGAGGTCACGGTTCGATTCCCGGTCAGGGCACAGGCCCGGGTTGCAGGCTCCATCCCCAGTGGGGAGCGTGCAGGAGGCAGCTGATCCATGATTCTCCCTCATCGTGGATATTTCTCTCTCCCTCTCCCTTTCTCTCTGAAGCAAAAAAAAAAAAAGAGGGTCAGGGTGGAGGTCAGTGTTTAAGCCGAGTGATGGCTGGCGGAGGTAGGACTGAGTTCCAGAGGCTTCCACCCGTGAGCACGGCTCTGTCTGTCCACACCTGCACCCGTGCCCATACCTGTGGACGGACAGAGGCTGTCTACCCACCGCAGGCCCCTCGCCCGGCCCCGGAGAAGGAGGCCCCGCCAGCTGCCTCCCTGGTCCCACAGGGGACTCGGCTTTCCTCCTGTTGGAGCAGCTGTGCATGAGGCCGAGGCCCCCACGGCACCTGCACGTCTGAATATGGAGAGAGAGAGAGAGAGAGAGAGAGAGAGAGAGAGAGAGAGAGAGAGAGAGAGAGCACCACTGTTAGTGTCAGGTCAGGATCCGAGCCGGAGGCAGCTGGCTGCGAGGCAGAGCTTCCTGGGGGCGGCCAGCCTCGGGGTGGGGGTGGGGGGCGGGGCCCCTCTCAGCCTCAGAGCCAGCAGCGCCGTGCCCGCTTCCCCCGCAGGTACTTCCACTGCCCGGCGGACAGCTCCGAGCTGGCCTACGACCCGCCGGCCGTCATGAACGCGGACACCCTGAGCTACTGCCAGAAGGAGGCCTGGTGTAAGCTGGCCTTCTACCTCCTGTCCTTCTTCTACTACCTGTACTGGTGAGCGGGCACCCCCTCCGGGGGTCTGACTCCTGCAGAACGGGGGGGGGGGGGCAGAGGTGGGGGTGGTTCACCAGCCGGCCCCCTGGGCTCGGGGAGGGGGCCCTGAGCCTGTGGGATTTGATGCCACCGTCCGAGTCGGATCCGGAGCCAGGGCTCCTGTTGAGTATGAAGCGAGGGGCAGCGGTCCCCACGTCTGTAGCAATCTCTGCCACCTCTAAGTGCTCAATATTTTTTTTTTAAAAAATATATATATTTTATTGATTTTTTTTTTTACAGAGAGGAAGAGAGAGGGATAGAGAGTTTGAAATATCAATGAGAGAGAGTCATCCATCAGTTGCCTCCTGCACACCCCTCACTGGGGATGTGCCCACAACCAAGGTACATGCCCTTGGCTGGGAATCGAACCTGGGACCCCTCATTCCACAGGCTGATGCTCCATCCACAGTCAAACCAGTTTTGGGTAACTTTTTTTTTTTAAACTGTGGAGCTGGCTGACATGATCTGCCCAAGAGAGCACCACCCTCCTGCCGGGGTATATGGCTTCCTTGATGGTAGAGACCGTGTCTGTTGCATCCACCCCTGTGTCAGCATATAGTAGGTGCTCACGAAACCCTTGCTGTTGCTAATGGTACAGGCCAGAGGTCGGCAAACTCATCCGTCCACAGAGCCAAATATCCACAGCACAGTGATTGACATGTCTTTGGAGAGCCACATTGTTTAAACTCCACTGTCTTCTAACATAGACTCGCCCAGGCCGTGGCGTTCTGTGGAAGAGCCACCCTCCAGGGGCCAAAGAGCCGCCTGTGGCTCGTGAGCCACGGTTTGCCGATCCTGGCACAGGCCCAAGGCGAGCTTGGGGCTGCACACTCACACCTCTTACCCGAGACACACTCTGCTCCTCTAACAAAAGCGACCGGGGTGAGAAAGCGTCAGGAGTGACCGGGGTTTGGCTTTGCCGGGTCCCCCTTTGGAGGGCCGGTCCCAGGCCCCTGCGGGCTCCCACTGACGCCTCCTCTCCCCCTTCCTTTCGCCTCCAGCATGATCTACACCTTGGTGAGCTCCTAACTCAGAGGCCACGCACACACGTCGTCAGAGACTGGACGGCAGCTCGCCGAGGCTGAGCATTCACTCCTGCGGGCGACAGAGGGAAAAAGGACAAAAGGGACGGGGTGGGGCTGTGAGGAGGAGGCCTGACCACACTGACTGCCTCCGGACAGCGGGAGCCGAGTTAACGGAATTAACCGCTGAGCGTTGTCACCTGCGGACCACAGGCTGCGATCTGCGTACACCCTGCGCCCGGCCTGCAGCTCCGGGGAGCGGGCGAGCAAACACAGACAGACCCTGAGCACACATCGCTGTGTCCCAAGCCTGCTCCATCTCATCTCACAGCTCCTAGCGGGTCCGCTCCTGCTCCCTGGACCTCGGGCGTGGGGGCTGGGGGTTCCTAAGGCACCCGCTACCGGGACAGAATGGCCCAGACTCAGGCCGCGTCCGTGGGACCCAGGGAGGGCCTCCCTGCCAGGGCCGGCGGCGCCCTGCACCCCCGCGGAGGGTCCGGAAGGTGTGCCAGGGCCTGCGCCGCAGCCGGCTCTGTGAGAGCTCAGCTCGGTGACGCCCTGTGCTGGGCTTGGGGCAACGTATCGCTAATAAAGTTGCCCAAAGTCAAGGATGTGGGGTGGGGATGGGCTGGAAGGGAAGAAGGAACCAGGAAAAAATGACTTTGAGAAACATGGACTCCACGTTCAAGGCCAAAGCCATCATAGCCCCCCAGTGCAAACTCGCTGGCCTGTCCTCGTCAGAGCCACGTCCTGCAAGGAACCCCCAGGGTCCCAGGGCCGCTCAGAAAGGAGACGACATAATGACAGCTTCCTTTTAGGATGCCGTGTCCCTCATCCTGCTTAACCCGAGGGTGCTCCCCGTTATGAGGAGGAGCTGAGGCAGGAGGGTATCCGTGACATGAAGGCTGAGACGCATAGGATGCTCAGATTGGGCGCAGTGACTTACTTTTTTAAAAAATCTTATTCCCCCCTCTTCCCCTCTCTCCTCCTGTTTGACACACGGGCCATTGTGCATGCACCCAGCTCCCGCCTGCGCCCGTGACTCAGGCCCAGGATCGGCGTCTGTGGGACACGCGTGTTAAAACGTGTGTTAAAGCGCGGGGACAACTGGAGTGTCTGCCCACCCGGCTGTCCCGTGTAAGCCTCGCCCCGGCTGGATGCGCCTCCATGGGGCTGGGGAACCGGCAGGCAGGGAAGAGCAGGGTTTTAAGAAGGGTTTCATTTTGCTTCTCAAAATTCGACAGGAAACAAAGGGCAGACTTTTGCCTTCAGGACACAGGGGCCGCTCTGATGGAAATCCAGGTTTATTATAAAGAAGATGAACACAGAGATACCCACTTCCCGAGAGAGTCTGTTTACCGTGACGGAGCGTTAAATTCGCAATTTCTCTTAGCGGCAAATCACAGCAATTCGCAGTCACACCGCGCTTACCATCGTACACTCTGCTCTCACGCTTCCTCCCTGGACCCTCCTCTGAGCCTAAGAGGTTGATATTGTTATTTTTCTCTAAGGGAGGCAGCTTTAACCCAGAGAGGGTCAGTGATTTACTGTTAGTCACACAGCAGTCACAGACCTGCCTCTGAAGCTACGTTGTGTGGCTTAAAAAAACCTCATGTCTCCCCTATCGGGTTTGGCTCTGTGGTTAGAGCGGCAGCCTGCGGACTGAAGGGTCCTGGGTTCAATTCCAGTCAAGGGCATGTACCTGGGTTGCAGGCTCAGTTCTCGGCCCCAATCTTGGGGCGTGTGCAGGAGGCAGCCAATCGATGTGTCTCTCACACATTGATGTTTCTCTCTCCCTCTCTCCCCCTCCTCCTTCTCCTCCTCCTCCTCCTTCTCCTCCCTTTCATTCTCTCTCAAAATCAATGGGGAAAATGTCCTCGGATGAGGATTGACAAAAAAATAAAAGACATTCAAACCCGTGTCCATTCCGTCCCGTCTGAGTGCCGGCAAAACAGCTGAGGGTTTGATGGAAGCTTGGTTGGGAACATCAACGTTTGGAGGAGAGGGGTTTAACGTAGAGGCTTTGCAGAAACGCCTGGTTGGTCCCGGGGTGCCAGGCTCACTGGCTGCCTGTGGGGGGCCTCTTCCCAGGAGCCCCGTGAATGCTGGGCCCTGCCGGTGCACCCCCTCTCCCCCCCACTGTCCTCATCCATGGGTGTATGATTTTTATCCAATCTCTTCCTGTACCCCTCCCCTCCCCACAGACACCCCTTTCCCCCTGAGACTATTGAGCCACTTTCCAATCCCCGGGGAAGCCGGCTGAGAGGATGGGAGTGAGGGCAGAGCCCGAGGGTGCGGCGTGCGGGCACCGAGCTGCGTGGCGTTGGCCAGGATCTCCCCCGCTGGCACCAGGATCCCCCAAAGCAGGCTGTGCGTACCCCCGCCATACCGATGAGGGACCTGGGGGGCTCCGGGCAGGTGGGTCTTTCCTGACATAGGAACTACGCCCATCCCCAGCTGATCGGTGAAACCTGGAGCTCATAGAGGCTACCCAGAGGCGCCAAGGTCACGGGTATCAGTAAAAGGTCACAGGTAATCAATAAAAATATATTTTTTAAAATTAAATAATTTTTTTTTAAAAAGCTAACTGGCCCAAGGGAGAAAAACAAAACAAAACAGGCCAATCAAGGGAGGAGGAAAAAAAAGACAACCCTTTTTATTTTTAAAAAAATCTATTTTATTGTTTTTCTACAGAGAGGAAGGGAGAGGGATGGAGGGTTCCCAGAATCACTGCCCGCGACCTCGCCCCTGCCCCTTCAGGCCACACATGGGCACGCAGGTGGCCGGGAGCCTGGGCAGCTGGGACAGGTGTCGGACCGGCCGCCCGCGGGCACATGAGCGCCCCCGCGTGGCCGCTGCAGGGAGCGCAGCCGCGCAGGCACCTGGTCCAGCTCACCTGCACCGCCCCGCCCCGCCCCGCCTCCCAGCATCCTTTTCAGGGCCCACGGGCCGGGAGCCTCCGTGGGCGTTGCTGGCCTGTACGGGGCGCCCCTACCTCACTCCCCCCACCCCCCACCCCCGGTTCGGTGGCCGCTGCATCCCACGGGGTTGGCCCTCCGCTGTCCCTCCCTCGAGGTCGCCTTCGCCTGCAGCCCCCCTCCCCCAGCCCGTGCAGACTTCGCCTTGACCTTGGCCGCTGGGCCCCAGGCGGGGCCGGAGCAGGTAAGGGCAGCGGGGACCCCCTGGGACACCCGCCCTTCGTGTCCGTGGGCCCAGCGCCCTGGCCGGCGGGGGGCCCGGAGGGACAGGTGGGCGCACCTCTCACCCCCCCTGCAGCCCCCAGGCTGCGGGCATTCGTGGGGTTCCCTCCGACAAATGCCCCTCCCCCAAAGGGCTTCCTTTCCTAGGGCAGGAATAGCCCCCCCCCCACTTTTTTACCTTTTTATTGCACTTATTGGGGGTGGCCTCGGTTAATAATAGTATATAGCTTTCAGGGGTACCATGCTATAATACACGGTCACCCCCCCAAGTGAAGTCTCCTCTTGGCCAGGTGAGGGAGCTCTCTTCTGGATGAAGGGGAGTTTCGGGGGGAAGGGTGTCTCCCCCAAGTCATGAGTGTGTAATGGACTCGGAGAAAAACGTGGCCACCATTTACTGTGTCATATATGCACACACATGTATGTTTACACAGCACAGGTATGGATGGGTATGTGAGATTGTACGTGGACAGACGCAACGTGTAAGTTCATACAGAGAATTACATTAATACCATCCATAGATATGGTACCGGCCTTCACTGAGTAAACTATCAATCAATCGATGGATGGATGGATCGATCGATAGATAGATGATAGATAGATAGATATTTCACACACACACACACACACACACATCAACACACATTGTTGGGTTTGACTTATTCATGTTTTATTTGGGATATTTGCATGTGTGTTCGGAAGCATTACTGTCTGTGAATTTTTGGGGGTGCATGTACGTCTGGTTTGGGAAGCATTGACGCTTTAGTCTCCATAAGTGAGTTCAGAAGCTTTTCCTTCTGATTCCGGAACGTCTGAGGGAGGGCTTTCTGTTTTCGGCATCTCTGATGACGTTCACCTGGGAAGGTCTCTGGGCCCGTGTCTCTCGTTAATTGGGATTACGGGAGCGCTGTTTGAGTACCGTTTCTTTTTTTCCTTCACCGGCTTTTAGTTTGCTTGGCCTTTATTATTGTCTCCTGTTATAATCATTTCTCCTCCTTCGAGCTTGTTCAGGTTCTAGCTTCTTTATTGAGCACTCGTTCTGTTTTGCTTCCAGTCTTTTAAAGTCCTGGATGCATTTTATGCTCTTCTGGGTTCTAAAAACGGCTACAGCTGCATCCGAGTGAGAGTAAGAGAATGGCTCAGTGGTTTAATTGTCGGGTGGTTCTAACTAAGGAGGAATGTCTACTCTCGTTTTCTTTGTAACCCACCGTTGTTTTGAATGGACTGTGTATTTAAATAAGTTTAATGCGCGTGTTATTATTCCCTCTGCGGGCATATTTTTCTTGTTGTTCGTTAGTTTGTTTGGTGCGTTATTCCACACGTACGTGAAATCGTGGAGCTTGTCTTTCTCTGACTGGCTTGTCTCACTTAGCGTAATACACTCCAGGCCCATCCGGGCTATTGTAAAGGATAAGATTCCCTCCTTGTGGGTGAGCAGTATTTCATGGCGTAAGTGCACCACAGCTTTCTGATCAATCACCCATGGATGGGCACGTGGGCTGCTTCCAAATCCTGGCTGTTGCAAATAACGCTGCCACAAACACAGGGTTTCTTCCGGTAAAGTCCCAGGAGTGTAAAGATTAAAAATGGTGGTGGATTAGTGGCCGACATTGATATGAAGAATTCTGTACATGTTTACCAAATGTAAATACAATGAGTGGGCCAATTAAAAGAGAGAGATACGTATGCACTTTCAATGTGTAACTTTTGTATGCTGAATGGTATATATATATATTTTTGCTTTTGAGGGAATGAATAAGGTATAGTTAATGGTGCCTTAACTTTTGAAATAAAATTTTAAGACAGATGG